AGAATATCAACGAACTTTCCGGCAGTTCAAAAAATTTTCCAGAAGTTCTACGAATTTACCAAAAGCCCCACAAACTTCCCAGAAATTCTAAGAATCTCCAAAAGCTCTACTCTAATTTACCACAAGTTTCACGAATTTTCTAGAAGATCTACGAACTTCTCAGAAGTTCTATGCATTTCCTGGAAGTTCTACGTTCTTTTCCAGAAGCTCTTCGAACTTCCAAGACTTTATACAAACATCCCAGCAGTTTTATAATTTTATCAGAAGTTCTAAAATTTTATCAGAAGTCATACAAATTTTCCAAAAGTTCTAAGGATTTCCCTGGGACTTTTCTAAAGATCTACCAACTTCTTCATGAGTTGTACGATTTTTCCAGAAGCTCTAAGAACTTCCAAGAATTTCTACGAATTTCCTAGCAGTACTAAAATTTAAGTTCTACGAATTTTGCAGAAGTTCTACAAAGTTTAAAGAGGTACTGCGAGTTTTGCAGAAGTTCTATGCATTTTGCATTAATTCTACGATTTTTTCCAGAAGCTCTACGAACTTCCAAGACTTTATACAAATATCCCAGCAGTTTTATAATTTTATCAGAAGTTCTACGAATTTCTCAGAAGTTTTACGAATTTTCCAGAAGTTCTACGAGTTTCCCTGAAAGTTCTAGGGACTTTTCTGAAGATCTACCAACGTCTTTATATGTTGTTGGACGATTTTTTCTGAAGCTCTAAGATCTTCGCAGAATTTCTACGAATTCCCCAGCGGTACTAAAATGTAAGTTCGACGAATTTTGCAGCAGTTCTACGAATTTTGCGGAAGTTCCACGAATTTTACAGAGGTACTGCGAATTTTTCAGAAGTTCTACGAATATTCCAGAAGTTCTACGAATTTTCTAGAAGTTCTACGAACTTCTCAGAAGTTCTATGCATTTCCACGTTTTTTTCCAGAAGCTATGAACAGTTCTACGAACTTTTCAATAGATCTACCGACTTCTTCGTAAGTTTCACTATGTTCCCAGAAGCTCTACGAAATTCCAAGAATGTTTACAAATTTCCTAGGAGGACTAAAGTTTAAGTTCTACGAATTTCGCAGAAGTTCTACGAATTTTGCAGAAGTTCTACGATTTTTCCAGAAACTCTACAAACTTCCACGAGCGTCTACAAACTTCTCAGTAGTTCTAACATTTTGTCAAAAGTTCTACGAATTTCTCAGAAGTTTAACGAACTTTTCTAAAGATCTACCAATTCCTTCATACCAAGTTCAAATATTTTTGCGGAAGTTTTAAATTTTTACAGAAGCTCTACAAACTCCCATGAATTTCTACAAACTTCTCAGTAGTTCTAAATTTTCTCAGAAGTTTTACGATTTTCTCAGAAGTTTTACGAATTTTAAAGAGGTACTGCGAGTTTTGCAGAAGTTCTATGCATTTTGCATTCATTCTACGATTTTTCCAGAAGGTCTACAAACTTCCAAGACTTTATACAAACATCCCAGCAGTTTTATAATTTTATCAGAAGTTCTTCGAATTTCTCAAAAGTTGTACGAATTTTCCAGGTTTTCTACGAATTTCCCTGAAAGTTCTAAGGACTTTTATAAAGATCTACCAGGAAGCTCTAAGAACTTCCAAGAATTTCTACGAATTTCCTAGCAGTACTAAAATGTAAGTTCTACGAATTTTGCAGAAGTTCTACAAATTTTAAAGAGGTACTGCGAGTTTTGCAGAAGTTCTATGCATTTTGCATTAATTCTTTGATTTTTCCAGAAGCTCTACGAACTTCCAAGACTTTATACAAATATCCCAGCAGTTTTATAATTTTATCAGAAGTTCTACGAATTTCTCAGAAGTTTTACGAATTTTCCAGAAGTTCTACGAATTTCCCTGAAAGTTCTAGGGACTTTTCTGAAGATCTACCAACGTCTTTATATGTTGTTGGACGATTTTTCTGTAGCTCTAAGATCTTCGCAGAATTTCTACGAATTCCCCAGCGGTACTAAAATGTAAGTTCGACGAATTTTTCAGAAGTTTTACGAATTTTCCAGAAGTTCTGCGAATTTTACAGAGGTACTGCGAATTTTTCAGAAGTTCTACGAATTTTCCAGAAGTTCTACGAATTTCCTAAAAGATCTACGAACTTCTCAGAAGTTCTATGCATTTCCACGTTTTTTCCAGAAGCTACGAACAGTTCTACGAACTTTTCTATAGATCTACCGACTTCTTCGTAAGTTTCACTATGTTCCCCGAAGCTCTACGAAATTCCAAGAATGTTTACAAATTTCCTAGCAGTATTAAAGTTTAAGTTCTACGAATTTCGCAGAAGTTCTACGAATTTTGCAGAAGTTCTACGATTTTTCCAGAAACTCTACAAACTTCCACGAGTGTCTACAAACTTCTCAGTAGTTCTAACATTTTGTCAAAAGTTCTACGAATTTCTTAGAAGTTTTACGAACTTTTCTAAAGATCTACCAATTCCTTCATACCAAGTTCAAAAAAATTTGCGGAAGTTTTAAAATTTTACAGAAGCTCTACGAACTCCCATGAATTTCTACAAACTTCTCAGTAGTTCTAAATTTTCTCCGAAGTTTTACGATTTTCTCAGAAGTTTTACGAATTTTGCAGAAGTTCTACGAATTTTAAAGAGGTACTGCGAGTTTTGCAGAAGTTCTATGCATTTTGCATTCATTCTACGATTTTTCCAGATGGTCTACGAACTTCCAAGACTTTATACAAACATCCCAGCAGTTTTATAATTTTATCAGAAGTTCTTCGAATTTCTCAAAAGTTGTACGAATTTTCCAGGTTTTCTACGAATTTCCCTGAAAGTTCTAAGGACTTTTATAAAGATCTAACAGGAAGCTCTAAGAACTTCCAAGAATTTCTACAAATTTCCTAGCAGTACTAAAATGTAAGTTCTACGAATTTTGCGGAAGTTCCACGAATTTTACAGAGGTGCTGCGAATTTTTCAGAAGTTCTACGATTTTTCCAGAAACTCTAGAAACTTCCACAAATTTCTAAAAACTTTTCAGTAGTTCTAAAATTTTTTCAGAAGTTTTACGATTTTCTCAGAAGTTTTACGAATTTTCCAGAAGTTCTACAAACTTCCCCGACAATTCTACGAACTTTTCTAAAGATCTACCGACTTCTTCGTAAGTTTCACTATGTTCCCAGAAGCTCTACGAAATTCCAAGAATGTTTACCAATTTCCTAGCAGTACTAAAGTTTAACTTCAACGAATTTCGCAGAAGTTCTACGAATTTTGCAGAAGTTCTACGATTTTTCCAGAAACTCTACAAACTTCCACGAGTGTCTACAAACTTCTCAGTAGTTCTGACATTTTGTCAAAATTTCTACGGATTTCTCAGAAGTTTCACGAACTTTTCTAAAGATCTACCAATTCCTTCGTACCAAGCTCAACGGAAGTTTTACATATTTTACAGAAGCTCTACAAACTCCCATGAATTTCTTCAAACATCCACGAATTTCTAAAAACTTATCAGTAGTTCTAAAATTTTCTAAGAAGTGTTACGATTTTCTCAGAAGTTTTACGAATTTTCCAGAAGTTCTACACGAAACGAAAATCAATTATTTTATTCATGTGTTTCACTACGATTTATCCAGAAACTCTACAAACTTCTCAGTAGTTCTAAAATTTTCTCAAAAGTTCTACGAATTTCTCAGAAGTTTTACGAACTTTTCTAAAGATCTAAAAACTCTTTCGAACCAAGTTCTACGAATTTTGTGGAAGTTTTACGAATTTTACAGAAGCTCTACAAACTTCCATGAATTTCTACAAACTTCTCATTAGTTCCAAAATTTTCTTAGAAGTTTTACAAATTTTCTAGAAGTTTTACAAATTTTGCAGAAGTTCTACAAAACTTCCATGAATTTTTACAAACTTATCAGTAGTTCTAAAGTTTTCTAAGAAGTTTTACGGTTTTCTCAGAAGTTTTACGAATTTTCCAAAAGTTCTACGAACTTTTCTAAAGATCTACCAACTTATTCGTATGTTGCACTATTTTCCCAGAAGCTCTACAAAATTCCAAGAATGTTTACGAATTTCCTAGCAGTACTAAAATTTAAGTCATACGAATTTCGCAGAAGTTCTGCGAATTTTGCAGAAGTTCCAATAATTTTGCAGAAGGTCTACAAATTTCTCAGAGGTACTGCAATTTATCAAGAAGCTCTGCGAACTTCCAAGAAGTTCTAAACAAAATTCACAGTTGTTCTCAACTTTTCCCATTAGTTCTACGAATTTCACAGTAGTTTTACAAACTTCACAAAAGAACTACCAGTTTCCAAGAAGATCTGCGATTTTACCAGAAGTTCTAAGAATTTCCTAGAAGTTTGAGGAGCTTCCCAAAAATTATTTCAACTTTCCAAAAGTTCTATTAATTTACCAGAAGTTCTACGAACTTCCTGGTAGTTCTACTAAATTCCCAGAAGTTTTAGCGTCACTTTCTACCAGCGATTTTACGAAACTGGACCAACAAATGACACTTTTGGCTACTTTTCTTGTGATTCTAGAAGATAAATCTAAAAATTTCGTTTTATTTCGAAGTTCGAGTGGTAGGAAACTATTTTTTCGAGGCTCTAGGGTACACGACACGGGCTAGCAGAATTAGTTTTATCAGCTTTTGATTTCTCTATGGATACCTACGAACAATATCAGTCTATCATTAGCGCAGGAAGTTCCAAAGAAACATAACTTGTCGATTCCCACATTCAATAAGTCAAAAATGGATTTCTATAGAAAATGAAACCAATACTGTTAGTCATTGGAGAACAACTTGCAAGCTAAGATCTCATTTCCACTTCAACTTAATGAGATGAGTATGTTATTTTTCACGACACAGACGCATAAACTGCGTCGCATTGGTTTATTTTTGGAACCAAACAAGAGTTCCACCCTCCCCTATAGCTTCGCTCCAGCAAATGCTACTGTACTTACGCACGCCCCTAATCAACGCATATAGTCATTCTAAAATCACCTACCCATCTCTTTTCCAGGCATCGCCTGTTCCAGTCCAAAGTACGGCTTCAACACGGTGGACTCACGCAAGAACCTTTCCGCTGCCGCCAAAAGCCGCCGTCTGGTGCGCAAAAGTTCCCTGCCGCAGCCGGCGGAAAACGGCGGAGCCACCCTCCATCCGAACGTGGGCCTGTGCAAGGCGGAAACGATCCAGCTGGTACTGGACTGTTCGCAGGGATCCGGTATCTGTTTGGGGCCGAAAACTCCCTGCGGCCGTGGCTACATCATCGCCCAGATCCTACCGGATTCGGTGGCGGAACGGTCCGGATGTCTGCAGAAGGGCGATCGCATTTTGGCCGTCAACAAGATGTACAATCTGGATGCAAACACAATCCGGCAGATACTGGGGGATTTCGGATCGAAAACGGCTGCCAATCACTACCACAACCAACCGCAGACGACGAATTGGGTGGAGTTGGAGCTGGAGTTTGATGTAGCGGACGCGGTGATTCCTTCCAGTGGAGTGTTCAACATAAAGCTGATCCGGCAGAACAAGTGCGGTTTGGGGATAACGGTAAATGGGAACAGTCACGGTTCGTTCGTCATATCGGAAGTCAAACCGGGAAGCGCCGCCCATCGGACGGGATCGCTGAGGGCGGGAGATGTTCTGCTGGCGGTGGACAATCATCCCGTCCAGCACTACAATCTGGATCTGCTGCTGAAGGAAAGCAAGAACGAGTACATTACGCTGACGGTGAAGAGGAATTCGCTACCGGACTTCCTGTTCGATGCCCAGCAAAAGACGAATCTCCTGTACGGCAGCACTGAGGACAATGCCTATATTTACGGAAACAGGTTTGTTGAAACATTGGCAGCACTGTTTTTGGGTGTTCTCCGATGCACACCAATCAAATATGTTATTATCGGTACAGTCGATTGTCGCTAGTAAGTTATTCCAGTTTTCAACTGTACCGGTAATACATAAATTCCACTAGCATGTTCCTCATCGATCCCATATAATCCATCTCCCTTTCAGATACAACGAATCGCCTTCCCTAAAATCAAACAACAACGTGGACTACTTTCAAATCGAAGACAACTCACCGTACCAGCAGCAGTTACGTCGACCCATGTGGAACCGGCCTACCACGTACGACCTACTGCCGTGTTCGGGAAATCCGATGACTCAGAGCACCGGTACGTTGAAGGCAATCCATCACTCATCACAGCAGCAGTCATCCAGTACGGAGAACCTTCCGCATCAGTCGAGCCAGCTTCTCACCGCCGAGGGGGAACTCTGTGAGGATCGCTACGACGACATCGTCCACTACAAGATGGCATCGATGAACATCAATAGCACAAACTATGTGTCGGCCGCAGGTGGTGGTGGTGGTGGAGCGGGAATTGCCGGCGGAGGTGGTGGTAGTGGAGGCAGCAATGGTTCCAGCGATCAAATCCACCAAATTATCTTCAATGTTCGGTTGGAACCGAATGGAGGCCCATTGGGAATCACCTTGGCCGGAAGCGATGACCTACAGAAGCCTATCAAGATCAGTGCCCTCACGGAGGGTGGAATCGCGTACAACACCGGTCAGTTGAAGGTCGGCGATTGTTTGTTGGCCATTAATGGAGAGAGCATTTGCGGTGTTCCGTTGACGACGGCTACGAAGTTGTTGCATAAATTTGAAAACGTGGTAGACTTGCAGATTTCACGGACAGAGTGCGTTGGTGGTTCGAAAAATCACGGACTGGGAGGAATCGGAGGTGAACCACAACCACAGGCGGTTTATGCAAAGGTTCAGCGTAGACCGCGGAGTCCTTCGATAACGGATGCCTTGTCAACGAACTCGAACTCCAGCGGGGCTGGCAACTGCCGGACGTTGCACGTGACACTGTTCAAGGATCGAGTCTACGATGACTATGGGTTTTCCGTGTCGGATGGTCTGTACGAGCGGGGGGTTTACATCAACAGGATTCGCAGCGGTGGACCGGCAGATTTAGTCGGGATGCTGAGGCCGTTCGATAGGATTGTTCAGGTAGCATTTTTTTTTTGTTCGAGCTGATATTGACCGATGATGGTATTAATCCCATTTCTAATTTTCGTAGGTCAACGGGACAAAAACGCAGGACTTTGACTGCTGTCTCACCGTACCTCTGATCGCAGCCGCTGGAGACAAAATCGACTTGGTCATACAGCGGCCCCTGACGGTGGAATAGCGCCGGTGGTGAATCAACGAATACTAAACAAGTGCCATTTCCAAAACAAGTAACTCACATACACAAACTGAAAGCAAAAACCAAAAACCAAAACGAAGGTGCCAAACCGAGTCCCAAAGAATATTTTACACGTAAGCGCATTTGCATCATTCTTCCTTAAACTCGAAGTTTTTCCCTTTCCCACTCTTCACTATTCATCGATGCCATTTTATACACCCTTCTCTGTATCGTATTTATTATCTACATTTAAAATTAGGACTTTCTAGAACTTAGATAACACCAAACTTTTACAATACTCCTAGGACAATAAAACCAAAGTTAGTGCAAGTTTTTCTCGCAGATTTATCGAGTTCTCCATCAAGAGTTTTTCAGGCATCACGGTCTATTATAGTAGTTATTGAAACACAAAAAAAAACAAGCCAATTTTTACAACTGAAATTTGTTCCAATATGTTTTACTGTGTATAGAGAAATCCGCTAAACAAAATGTTATTATATTTTTGCAAACCTCAGCAATGGAAAAAAAGGAGTGCATTTACGTCATTGCTCCTGCCGGGAGGTGTGTTCGGTCGGTGTCCCGTCCGATAGGTCGTGCTATTTTCGAGCAATCTCCGGAGATGAATGGCGCTAATCGGCCTCCTATCTCTAAGCACTAATCGCTTTCCGTACTGCGATGCAGTTGGCGGTAGGTGGTTTGTACTATACACAATCAATCCAGAATGTGGTTACTGTTGTTGTTTGAATGCTATGGGCTACAACCGATCCGATTGCTCTCCTCCTCCAGAGCATCCAAGGGTAAACAACATTATTCAGTTTACATATGAAAACAAAAACATTGTGTAGAAAGTGCACTACCTCTACGCCGTACTCGACCGGAGGAGGAGTGAACTTTGTCCGAAACGTTACTCCGAAGGCGGATCTTGTGCTGAGTATTGTTATTGCATCATTATCTCCCTTTGGTAGTGGGGATGCGGGATTATCGCAATGATGGATTTGATGTCCCATATTTGTAACGTGGGAATTTTTGCTTGATTAAAACAATGCAAAAGATCCCTTGGAATTGGGAATCTTGACGTTTTGTTTGTCGTCAATAGTATCCATCAAACGTTAAACGATTTACTAGCCTATTCTTAAGGGATCAGATGGCTGGTAATGTTCCCACTGCTAAGAATTCGCTCGATGTATCTTGACATATACGAAATCACCTTGCTGAAAACCTCTCTGGGCTGCGCCGTGCTTTTGGTTGAAAGCGTCATTATGTTTCTTCCTGTCTCTGGATATGGTGCCACGTTCGGTTGGTTTGAACATTGTCGATATGGTACGAAGTGGTTTGCTTTATAACAGGTGCGAAGACCTCATCATAGTCTTGACCATACTTTTGACTAAAACCTTGGGTGATCAAACGAGCCTTATACTTAATAGCTTCTCCAGCAGCATTTCATTTTTATCTTGTAAACCCACTTGCTCCCTACTGGCTTTCGCCTAGCAGGGGGGTTTACCAACTCCCACGTTTCGTTGTCTTCGTGAGATCGCAGCTCGTCAGTCATGGCTTTTCTCCACTCAGCACCCTTCCCACAGCTCAAAGCTTCCTGAAGCGTTCTCGGCTCCATCTCCTCCTCTGGGGAAAGCGTGCCTGCCACGAAAATCTCTTCGGTCAGGCGACGTGATGCTACGCCCTTCGATGACCTCAAAGACCGCCTAGCGATTTCATCCAACGGGAAACCATGGAACGATGAATCACCATCAGACGCGATCGTATATTGCGAACTGTCCAACTCTTCTGGATCCGCTTCCTCTTCACTATCACTACTTTCAACAGCTTCGGGTATAGTAACCTCTTCGATCTTCTTCCCCTCAAGCGATATAATAACCTCTTCACTCACTTTTTCAGGAAACAGAAACGGTTCTTCTTCGGGAACTTCCTGCCGGCACCCGTGGGGCACCTCTTCTTCACGCACTTCCACAAACTTCGCATCACGGCTAATCAGAATCGTATCGTTCTCGAGATTCAAGAAACGGTATGCCTTGCGACCCTCTGCGTATCCAACGAAGACCAACTTCACTGCTTTCGGATCCAGCTTTCTTCGCTTCTCCTTTGGCACATGCACGTATGCCTCCGAACTAAAAATACGCAAATGAACATACGACGGCTTCTTGCCCTGCCACAGTTCATACGGTGTCTTCTCAATGACAGACGACGGAAGACGATTCTGCAGGTAGTTCGCCGTGTTCAACGCTTCACCCCAGTACTTCTTCTCCAATCCTGCCTCCAGAAGCAAACATCGGACCATTTCGACCTCATACCGGTTCTTCCTCTCCGCTTTGCCGTTCTGCTGCGGCGAATAGGGTGCCGTTTGCTGCAGAATGATGTCTTTCTCAGCAAGAAACTTCTTGAACGACGTGCTGGAATATTCTCCTCCTCCATCCGTGCGGATCACCCGAGGAAAACGTCCGAACTGGTTCTTCACCATACTGCAATATTCGCGCACTTTCGAATCCACTTCTGATTTCGACCTCAACAGGTACACTACAGTGTAACCGCTGAAATCATCCACCATAGTAACGTAGAATCGGTTGCCGCTGGGTGTGGCAACTTCCATCGGACCACCAACGTCCGAGTGCACCAGATCTCCAACCGCTGATGACTTGCTCTGGGACTGCTTCGGAAACGAACTCCGACACATCTTCCCTTTCAAGCAAACTTCACATACGCAATCTACAGTACACTTCTGCAATTTCAGGCCGAAACCCAAATCGTGTCGCATTATCTTCGCAATAGCCTCCGGATCGCGATGACCCAGCCTACGATGCCACAAATGCTCACACAATTCAGGATGCTTCACAGTGGTCGCCAATGTTTGCTCTGGAAACTGCTTCAACCGATATAACCCTCCATTCCTCTCGCCTACCAGTACTGCTTCCTTGTTATGTAGGACTCGACAACCAGACTTCTCGAATACGACACTGTACCCAAGATCGCAAATCTTACCTACGGACAGTAAATTACCTGCGAGGGAAGGCACATGGTGCACATCGTTGAGCGTGACGTTCATCCGGATTCCACTTCCAGTTAGCGACACTACTTTTCCGGTTCCAGAACTACCGGACCTGATGCGTGTACCATCGGCCAAACAGATCTCAACACTTTTACTACGGTCCACATTGTTCAACAAGTTCACGTCACTCGTCATGTGCGACGTCGCTCCGGAATCCAAATACCACTTTCCAGCATCACACGGAGTCGCAACCACCAGACACATTTCCATCACACCACTAGAAACTTCTGCCGCTATGTTCGCTTTTCCAGCATCGTTCTTCTCCTTTTGCGACTTTTCCTTCGCAAGCTTCGGACAATCGCGCCGAAAAATGTCCGTGTTGGTGGCAATGATGGCAAATGACTTCTTTCTTCTTCTTTTCGAATTTGGTTTTACCACTCAAATTTGCTCTTCACGAACTCGACAGTCACTTCCAAGCTCTGGTCGGCTCTCAATCACGTTGATGAGGCTACGACATCGGAAGGCTTGAGAGAATCAACGCCATGAACACTCTGTCCTTTAGTCCTTCTCGCATCACTTCCAACTGGTTGTGCAACGTTGTCATGTCATTCAGATGCTCCAACAGATTGCCCTCTTCAGACAACTGCATCGAACACAACTTCCGCAGTACGTGCAAAGTTGAAGAAAGAGACGACTCCTCATAAATTTTCTTCGATGAGTCCCACATCTCCTTCGCCGTCGTCTTCCTGATGATGTGCACCAGTTGCGAATCTTCCACAGCTAGCCCGATCATGGCACGAGCCTTTCCATCCTTCTGGATCCATTCGGCCGTCGGTTCAGCAGGCTTGGCTACCATCACAACAGAGGTCAGCTCCTCCTTCACCAAGAAGAGCTCCATTTTGAACTTCCACACCGCGAAATTATTGTCATTCAACTTTTCGAAAGATACTTTAACGTCCGCCATTTTGTTTCACACACGAACGGAACGCCACTGCCGAACCGAGAAAAAAAAATGTCCTTGAGCTCCAAACGCGATTTTACCGGAAATGTTCCTGTCCTACAGCTTCCACGATACTGCTGGGCCCATAACCTATTAAGTACTAAGCTCCGATCTACTGTAGTTAATTAAACACTTTATTAATTAAGGATTAGCAACAACAATGCTCTCACTTGAATGGTGCTTTTACGAATGTAGAAAAACAAGGAAGGCGGTGCTGTCGGTGTAGGTAGAAAGTTTCATTCTTGACAGCACAGCTCTGATGGTAAGAGCATCTCGATCGTTGCTCCTACCAATGCTATGTCCTCCATTAGCTTCAACAGTCAGAGTAGCTCCTGACTAGACTCGAATAGCGCAACGTACTCAGCTTCTGTGACGACAGGCTGACACATTGCTGTTTCCTAGCGGCCCAGCTGATTGGACCACCTCCGAGCTTAAAAACGAACCCGGAATTTGATTTTCAATCCGTTTTGTCACCAGCCCAGTCTGCATCCACAAATCCTTCGAGACCGCCGGTTCTGCCAAGCTCAAGCTTCAAGTCAGCTGTTGCGTTGAGGTACCGTAAAGTCCTCTTTGCCTCGGACCAATCCGCTTCGGTAGGTTGGCTCACCTTTCGTCCCAGAATAGACGCAGCAATCGCAATATCGGGTCTGGTGCACCCCGCAACGTATAGCAAAGCACCGACTCCTCCTTTTGCTTCACGTTTGGATACCCAGGATCCATGGGTATTTTCGATGACTTCGCTTGGCCCATGTCAAACCTTTCAGCAATCTTCCGGATGTAAGCTGATTGGTTCAACAAGAAACTGCCGGAACACGTTTGCTTCATCTGTATGCCGAGGTAGTTGGTGACATCCCCCAGGCACGTGAGCCTGAATCTTTTCGACAGCTAGTAGTAGCTCCTCTCATATTCGTTGTTGTCGGGACTCACAATCAACATAGTCGACGTACAACAATATATAATATAATATAATATATATATATATATATAATATAATTCTAGATAGAGCTGGAATTAGGGCCTAACAGCTTTTGTAAACAATGACTTCAGGGCCTAACAGCTTTTGTAAACAATGACGATGATTTCTAGAAACTCAAGGCTCGCCCACGCAAACCAACCTCCTCATCGGGTAGGGAAAGACTTTCCCTATCCGATGGTTATGTTGGTCAGTGTGAGCGTGCCTTTAGTTCCTAGAAATCACCGATAGAAGTTATTGTTTACAAAAGCTGTTACGCCCTAATTCCAGCTCTATCTAGAATTATCGTATGCAATGCAACGCAATCGCATAGAAAAGCGTCTCTTATTTTTAGGCTGTGAACCATTTGCCGAGTTAAATTTAACTCGTGGTTAAAAGTGACATTTCGAAAGTTATTTTCTATGTTCGAAAATCCCCGTGCTGTCGATC